TGACATGTATATCTTGTCCTTGTTCAATCTCATCTTGTTTCTTTTCAGACCTTTGTTTCTATCTCTCTGGTTCGTTTGGGTTCCCAGCTGTCTCTAGCCCTGTCTGTTGGAGGCTCGCAGCAATCTTCAAATGCAGGTGTCTCTCCAGCTTGCCTATGCCCTGTAGCTCCTGGGACTGGACCTAGCTGCAAGCTCTGGCTGTGTCTGGGCTCGTATTTTCCCATTGTGCTGGTCAGCACACAGAGACGGACACAGCAGTGTGGGTGCCACTGTGCCTACAGGAGGGGACTTCTCTGCCCTGCCTAGGGCAAGGCTGAGCAGAAGCATCTTGCTGTTAGGTCCCTGAAGTCCCTGGCTGCCCTGTCCCTTCACGTTTCTCAGGTGAGGTGGCTCCGTGACTGAGGTGTCTGATGTAACTGAGCACAAGTTTTCATACTGCTGTGTGCTGGTTCTATTAGCTCTCTGGATAGTAGGTAGATACCTGTGAGAAACACATCTAGAAATCTGTGACTCGTCTCCCAGGACATGTTATGTAGCATCCCAGAGGGAGATCACCCTTGAGGCTTAACCATGGGAGATACCAGGACAAAATCAAGAACCGCTTTTTCAACTGCATATGTAGAAATATTTTTGCAAGCATGGCATGTTTGTTCTGTTGGGGACAGTCAGAATGAGGAAGGAACTCCCTGAACCAAAAAAGCAAGCTCTGCAGGGATGTACTGCACACGCTTGCCCTGTTCTTGCTGGTGTAGCTTAACTGAGCGGCAGCAAAGGCCTGGGTGCATCTGCTGCAATGCAGAGCAGAAGGGCTGGGCGCGAAGCCAGCGTGCTGCTGCAAAGCGTGCCTCGCTGCTGCTGCTGGGGGAGCCCACCCAGGGCTCCTCTGCTTGCTGTGAGGAGGTCTCTGCCTTCTGAGACATGTGGGGGGAGTGCTCAGCACTGGAGTGCTGTGTGTGTTGGTGCTTCTGCGAGTTGTGATTTATTTGCCCTGGCTAGCGATGTGGAAATGCAGTGTGGTGATAAGAGCCAAGGACAGAGACCTGCTGTAGCCAAGACCTGTAGGAGCAGAGAGTGGTGAGATACAGGTGTGGGGTGTGGGAAGGTGTGAAAGGCTCCTAGTGCTCAGCTGGGAACCTAGTGCTCAGCTGTCTCCCTGAGACACTGCTTGCATGTCTTGCCTGCCTGTTGCCTTGATGGAGATCAGAGGGCTGCCTTCTTAGAAGGGACCATCACTCTGAGGGGGTGAGTTTGCTGCTGGGCTCTGCTGGACCGGGATGACGGGCTGCTGGGTGATGCAGCGTGGCTGAGGATAATGCATATCAAATGTGTTCCTGTTCTACCCCCGCCAGCAGTCTTGGCTTTCCAAGCTGTGCAACGTAGGCAGAACAGCTCCGTGCATTGCTAACACAGCCGAGCTGAGTATTGCCTTGTGTCCTGCTTAGGAAATGAACTTGGCCTCCTGTCAGAGAAGCTGGGCTGCAGGGTCCAAGGGAGTGGGCAGGGGGAGAGATCACCCACCAGGCACATTCCCCCTGGGCTGCTGGGAACCTCTCCTGAGCCCGTGGTGGAGCAACCAAGAGGCAGCCAGAGGTAGGAAGTGCCCTTGTGTGCACTTGTCTACGTGCAGAATAGTCTGGACATTCAGCAGGCCAAGATAATGGCCCAAGCGCTGCTGAGATCCTGTCCCCTCCTCCCAGCCCTGACATCTGGAGACACCTCCAACGCAGACGGGGTGCTAATTTCCTCTCCTTTATCTGTCAGGCCCCAAGGTTAAGTGAACTATGGCTAAGCAAACCAAATTAAAAGCAAGTGAGTTAATATCAACACATGGATTAGCCTCATAATCAAGTAGACAGAACTGTATCAATTAAACCAGTAATTGTTTATAAGCTTTATCTAATTATCTGGGAAGCAGCTGTCCTGTAGCGCTCCTGGCCTCAGACTCCAGGGGATTCCTGACTCTAGGCCAGTCAATTTATTTACTGGCATTGCAGCAAAATGCTGGGTACCCATGAGAAGGTCCAAGTCCTGCCAGACTGAAGAAATGCCAGACAACAGCTCGGATCTTAAATGTGGCACTGAATGAGATGGCTGGGCAGATAGGAAGTCAGTTCTCAAGCAGAGCTGGGATGCTGAGGCAGTCCTTGTTCTCCCACTGGGACCTGGAAAAGGGAAGACCCTTCCAGAAATGTTCTTTGCTTTGGGATGTTGGTTGTGGTAGAAATGGGTTCATAGCTCAGCTGACACAGAACAGCAGGAGGTGAGCCCTTGGGGAATGCTCCTGTGTGTCTTTTGGGAGGATGCCTGTGCTGGGTGAGGGACAGCTACAGTGACAGGGGAGGACAGGACTCCACTGAGTACGCTGATAGGAAAGGATGAAGCTGCCAGTAGCTACAAGGCATTATTCCTGCTTGCACTGGAAACCTTTCTCAGATATTCAGATTCCTTCTTCCTCTTTGCTCCTCAGTCAGTCAAAAATTAGAGACCCTTTTCCTGCCCCACTCCCCGCCCATCCCTGTCCAAAGGAGCCAGGATCCCTCTGCAAAAGCTGCCAGCAGGTCTGAAGGCAGAGGTGTTTGCAGCCTGGGCACACCAGGTAAGGAGCAGTACTGATGGATAACAGCAGGTGCTGGGGCTCAGGGTGTGTGTTTTTTAGAGGGGGATGCAGGTTCCTTGGCCAGTTATACCTGTGTAGTCATATCAGGGCTGGTCTGTGGCCTGGAGGTGGCTTGGACTGAGTGCCAGCACCACCAGAGGAATATCAGATTTCAGGATTTTTGTTTGTTTGTTTGTTTGTTTTTGATTGGTTGATTTGTTGTCTTTTGCTAGCCCTGGAATGGGAGGAAGTGCAGGTTTCTAAGGAAGCGATGGTCTGTAATGGGCACCACTGTGCTGAGCCCCAATCTTAACTGGGGACACGGCTGATGAACCTGGCGCTGGCAGAAGGACCTTGCTCCAGTCAGTGTTCGATATCTTGCACCAGTAGCAATTTGGGCTGCTTCCTATTTTGGTTTATCAGGCTTTTGGGCAGCACTTCTTATTCTGCTTTTCCCTGCTAGTCCAAGGAGTCTTCAGCATCCTACTTGGAGGAGACTGACTCCCTGGAGGGGCTGTCAGTAAAGCCTTTCAGTCTACTCTGAGGGTGGACAGCTGAGCTCTCAGCTCTTGGGATGGAGATTCATTCCTGTGGCCCTGCTCTGCTGCACTCTTCCCACAAATGTTTTCAGTCTGGTTACATTCGGCCTTGCAGGAGGAGGCAAGAGGAGACGTCTGGGGTTTTGTGGAGGATTTCTGCGCTCCTTAGGGCACATGCCCATTTCTGTGCTCCCCTGGGGCTGGGCCCTGCACTGATTACTGAGTGCTGGGATCTGGTTGCATGTTATGCCCTTCTCTTTTCCCTGAGCAACTACTATGGGCTATGCCCAGAAGGAGATGTGCTCAAGGGGAAACCTTTCCCCAGCCTGGTGTGGACCCCTAGTACAAACAAACCCTGGGGTCAGGGGACAACTGAGGCATTGGGTGCCCCCATGCACGCTTCCGTCTCTAGCATTGCATAGGGGCTGGTGGGAACTGGGATCTCTTGGCTCCCACAGCCTGTGGGACTCAGTCTGGAGTGTGCTGTGCTCCCCACTGAAGGCAAATAAATGAATTTCTCTGCTGGTGCCTTCTGACATCTCTGAGTTTCTCCTGGTAACGGAGTGGACATTAGCTTGGGCTGCTCTCCTTGTGCATCCTAGTTCCCCTAAAGAGCTGATCTCCATGCCACTTCCGTATCTTTTTTAGCAGAGGGGATCCTTCTCAAGTCCTGTTTGTTACTGTATATGTGCTGGCAATCTGCACAAACAGTTGGAGCTCTCCAAGGGCCAGGAGGAGGGATCTGCAGCCACTTCTAGGCTCTGGGTCTCCAACACCATCCATGGCCAATGAGAACCTGGACAACAGCTTGGTTCTGCAGAGATGATGCCATCTTTTACCTGACATTCGTATTTGTTCAGCAATGTTTGGAGCCTTGAATATCCTGTAGTGTTGTTTCATGCGCGTGTGTGTTAGATCCCCAAGTCGGCACACTTTGCATGTTAGACCCGTTGGAGCAATGTTTCTGTGTTCAGTCTCTATTTAACGAGCCAGCAGCTGCCATGTGTGAGGCAAGTCCCAGGTGGCTGATGGGCTCTATCCTTGCACAGGGTCCTGTAAGGCAGGAGGGGCTGTGTCCAACCCTGTTTTCATGAGGAGTTTGCAGAGTAACAGCCCAGCCTGAGTGCTGCCTGTTTGACCCGTTCCACCCAGTATACATGGACTGGGGATCAAACCTGCACCACGTTCAGTTAATGTCCCCTTCATAAATTCCTGTGCGATGCGTCACCGCCGTGTTTGTGAAGGGCTCAGCAGGCACCTCCAGGAGATGGGCAGGTCGGGATCAAAGCCGGATTCTGAGGGAGATAAGATGATGGTGCCCCCACAGAAAGCGCGAGCTGGAGCGACCCTCGCCCGCCCCACTGAGCCAGGCATTGCAGGAACTGGGTGAGCTGGGGACTGTCCGAAAGCTCTGTGGGGAACCAGAGGCTCTTTGGAAATGATTCCTGGTCCAGGGAGGATGGCAGTGAAGCTGTCTCACCCCGTGCAGCTCTGCCCTGATGCTCCAGCACATCAATCCCCCCTTCCCCCGCACCTGGACACAGGTCAGGCCAGGCAGGGAATTCCTTCTTCAGCTTTGGGCTGATGCCCAGGTCCAAGGTGGCTACTGAGGAGCCAGGCAAGGGTTTCCAGGCAGCTCGTGTGCCCAGGACTTTTCCCAGCAGTGCCCTGTGGCGCTGCTGCACTTTACACCCAGCTGCAAACCGCTGGGCTGTATTGCTGCTGCGACACGGTGAGAAGCAGGAAAAGCAGAGCTGCGGGGGGACAATAAAGGCAGCGGAGGGCAGATAAGCGGGGATCAAACACGGCGTGGGAGCCACCCGCGTCGGGCTCTCAAAGGCCCCTTTGTTCGCGCTGCCTTCAAGGGCCGCGGGCGCAATACGAGCTGTGAGCGGGGCTCCTGCTGCTGCAGACCTTGGCAGTTGGGCAGCCACCTGCGCGTCCTGGCAATAAAAAGAGATTTAATTTCAGTCACAGGACTGATCCCAGTTGCACACCGAGGCCTGATAACGTATCTCACTAGTTCCTATCAGACAGGCAATAAAGCCATCACTGGGGTGGGAGGCGATGGAGGCGACGCTCACTTCCCTCCTCGGCCGGGGTCTGCCACGGGGTCCTGCTCTCACTGACCTGCCTGCCTGCCCTGCAGCTGCCCCGCAGTCGGGCTTGATGGGGAAATGCCGCCGGCCGCGCACGGCCTTCACCAGCCAGCAGCTCCTGGAGCTGGAGAACCAGTTCAAGCTCAACAAGTACCTGTCCCGGCCCAAGCGCTTCGAGGTGGCCACGTCGCTGATGCTCACCGAGACTCAGGTACCTGGGACCTGGGGTAATGGAGGATGGCACCAGTTGTTTGCTAGGGAGGTGGGGGCTGAGCTGGGCAGTAGGGAGCCAAAGGCAGGTTCTCCTGGCTCTACTCATCCCATGCCCTCGTTGGCAGTGCTTCCCGGGCATCAACCTGGCTTGCAAGGAAACCCCAGGAAACCTGCTCCTCCTCCTTGATCCCCGCAGACTGGGTTAAGAGCCCCCCTGCCCTGAGCTAGAGAGAGCTAGTGTCTCTCTTTTTATGACCCCCACACAAGTCCTTTGACATCCTGGGCAGCTGCTGGTTCTCTTCACCCACCAGCAGCAAGGTTGGGCAGGGGTAAGGGAGCAGCCCCTTGGGGTACATCTCTCCTCGTGGTGTTCTCAGCCCCCTTGCACACACTGTTGGCATTGCGGGGCTACCTGCAGCAAGGAGCTGTGAGGGGCTCTGTGATGCAGGGGGGCTGGGGCAGACAGGATGGGGATGGAGGGCACAGCTCTCTCCTTGGCACCACTGCTCAATCTCCATGGAGCTGCTGAGGTCCAGCACAGGCGTTCCCGACCTACCATGGTCTCCCCCAAGCCATGGGATGGGGCTGCACCTGGCACCTCCCCTGTGCCCACTCTCCTCCCGGGGCTCTCCTTCAACAGGTGAAGATCTGGTTCCAGAACCGCCGCATGAAGTGGAAGCGGAGCCGCAAGGCCAAGGAGCAGGTGGCACAGGCAGAGGCCGAGAAGCAGCGAGGGCTCAGCAAGGGCTGCGAGAAGCTGCTGCCCAGCGAGCCGCAAGGCCAGGGGGGGGAGGGCCCTGCGTTTGTGGGGCGCAGCGCCTGCCCCGGCTTCCTGCGCTGCGGCACCGCCGAGCTGCACTACGGCCCAGACTCCTCCTGCTCGGGCGGCGAGGAGGACGAGGAAGAGGAGGAGGAGGAGATGGGCGCCACCGAGGGGAAGATTGGCTCAGTGTTGTGAACGGCGGCCGGAGCGGGGCAGGGGAGTGGGGCCGGGCGGACGCGATGGGGGCCTCTTTGCTGGCAGACATGGACTGCACCAGGGCATCTGCCTCCCCCACTGCCTTTAACTTATGTGTGTTTGGTTCCTATTTAACTCATAATTATTCCTCTGTGTGTATCTGGGGGAGTCCCCACATGCCTCCCCTATAAAGCTGTTATCTGGATGCCTGTGGTCTTGCTTAGGGGCCGGGAGGCTCTGGCCCGGGGAGCAGGGTGGGCGCTGCAGACCTGCCTTTGGCCACACGTTGTCCCTTTCCTGCAAGGGTGACTGTGCCAGGGCAGGGCAGGCTGAGCCCCGCAAGGCAGGAGGGATGGGAAGGAGGATGCTGCGGGATGTGTGCCGGCCCTGCCCTGCTGACTTCTGTGTTCCACAGGGATGCAGGCAGCAAGGAGCTGTCCATGGGGCAACCCTGCATGCCGCTGTGCCAGCTCGGAGCTGGGGAGGGGGAGCCCTCTGCTCCCAGTCTGGTGGGGTGGCAGGCAATCCTAGCACCTGCGCCTTCGCCTGCTGCTTGTTGTGCAGCCCTTCTGCCCCACAGCGGGGAGCACTACCCAGCCTGTGCCAGCAGAGAGTGGGTCAGAGGCTGTGGGACTGCAAGTGGAGCTCGTTAGCTAACTGGCTAACAAGCAGTGCTGAGCACCTGGCTGCGGGGCCGGCCCCAGGTGGTTTCAGGAGGTGCTTGGTGGGGATCAGTGCTGTGACCAGCTCCTGCTCTCGTGGGGCTATCTGACTCCTCTCAGCACTTTGCTGGGCTCAATCCACAAGCTGCCCAGGGCCCCACTCACTTTGGCTGGGCTCACCTGGCCGCTGCGCTGGCTCCCAGAGCCCTGGCTTCTACCCTAATGTCCCCTCTTTGGGGAGGGACAGTCCCTGTGGTAAGGATGCTGGTGATGATCCTGCATGGGCTCACAGTGACCCACAGTGGCCAATGCAGCTCAGCAGCTTTACCTGGGTGCAGGACATTCTCAGGGTGCGGGTCCCTGTCCCCAGCTGCCGTGCCCAAGCTGGGGGTGCCAGGAGGCTGCAGTGCAACATGGAGCAGGGGAGGAATAAATGAGGGCACAAAGGGGAGGAATGGCAGGAAAGGAGGAAGTGGTGGAGCAGCAGGAAGAGAAGGTACCCAACCCTCTGCCATTGCCTGCGGGGACAGCAGGGCAGGAGTGACCCATTGCCCAGGGGAGCCGTGGACCCTTTGCAGGTGTTTGGGCCTCCTGAGATGGTTATAGATGCCATCCTGTGGCTGCAGGCGCTTGGCACCAAATACATCTCCCATCCACTGTCCAATCCGACCTTGCAGTAACAGGGAGCCACGGGAGGGCCATGGCATGCTGGAAGAGCAGTAGGACTGGGAGAAGAGGGAGAGCAGAGGAGTGTGCCAGGAAGGAGGCGGGGAGCTGAAGGGGCGTCAGGTTTTAAAACATTCACCTTGATGGGCCGTGACAGGTTTAATTTGCAGAGTACAACCATTAAACTGATGGATGGGGGGCGGCCATCTCACGCAAGCCCTGCGTAGATAGCAGAGGGTTTATTTTGCTTCTGTTATTTATGAGGCTGT